GGGGCCGGGCACAGCCCTGGGGGTGGCAGTGCCGGGGCTGCAGCAAGGACAGGCCATGGGCACTGCTGGCTGGGGGCCTGGGGGCTCCAGACTCCTTGCCCAGGCTCTCTCAAGAACACACCCAGGCCAATGCTCAGCACAGAAAACCCCCGTGAGCAGCCCCAGGCTGGCCGTGGGCAGGCTGGGGGCAAACAGCATGGCTGGGGCCCTGCAAGGGCCCTGGGGCAGATGGGAAGGAGCAGAAGAGCAGTGGCTGATCCATCCCCAGTGCGCTGGACAGCCCAGGGAAGCGTCCCAGAGCGTCCTCATGGAGCTGCCAACAACATCACCCCTCTGCAGCCCTGGCCTCTCCCCCAGCTCACACAGGTGCCCCATCCTTGCAGGCACAGACGTGGCAGCACTGGCTCAGCAGCCCCTGTTTGCATTGCACAGAGCAGGCAGGAGAACCCCCAAGCTGTTAATTTGGGGACATGAACCTGAAGGAGCACAAATGCCATCAGCCCCTGGGGCCATCAAGGGCTGGGGGACAGCAGGGAAACCACTCAGCTTTGTCCTTGCCTCTGCAGTCAGCCAGAAAGTTTGTTCCCATCAGCTGGGAGTTTCCTGTCCCACTGCAGACGCTGTTGCTCACAGCCAGGGCTGCCTGGCAGCCACCCCCAAACTGCCCTCAGCATTTCCTTGCCTTTACCTTTGCTTTCTTTACTTTTCCCTGGTACAATGTGTTCCTTTTGCTCACCACGGGGGGCTTAGAACTGGACACAACACTCAAGGTGCTGCTGAAGCAGTGCTGAGCACAGGGGAGGAATCCCTGCCCTGCTCCTGCTGGCCACAGCATTCCTGATCCCAGCCAGGAGCCATTGGCCGTCTTGGCCACCTGGGCACACTGCTGGCTCATGTCTAGCCTGCTGTCCATCACTCCCTGTACATCCCTTTCTGCCTGGCTGCTCTCCAGCCACTCTGTGCCCAACCTGTAGCGCTGCAGTGGTTGTTGTGGCCGAAGTGCAGTACCTGGCACTTGGAGTTTTTAAACCTCATCTTTCTGATTTTGGGCCCTGGATCCAGCCTGTCCAGAGCCCTGTGCAGAGCCCTCCTACCCTCCAGCAGATTAAACTTGCACCCAACTTTGTGTCAGCGCGGTTCCCCAGAGTGTCCCAATGGTCTCCATGGTTCCATGGGGCCTCCCAATGTCACAATGTCCCTTTGGTTCCATAGAACCCCTTGGTATCACAAAATCGCTTGGATCTTTGGCCCTGCAGTGTCACAATGGTCCTTTGGTCCCCCCAGGCTCTGAAGTGTCACAGTGGATCCTTGGTTCCATGAATCATAGAATCACAGAATTTCTAGGTTGGAAGAGACCTTTAAGATCGAGTCCAACCCATGTTCTAACACCTCAACTAGATCATGGCACCAAGTGCCACATCCAGTCTTCCCTTAAACACATCGAGGGATGGTGACTCCACCACTTCCCTGGGTCAATGATTACAGTATTACCACTCCTTCTGTGAAAAATTTCCTCCTTAATTCTAGCCTCTATCTCTCTTGGCGCAACTTGAGACTGTGTCCTCTTGTTCTGTCTGTTGTTGCTCGGAGAAAGAGACCAACCCCAGCCACCTTTCAGTAAGTTGAAGAGGGTGATAAGGTCACCTCTGAGTCTCCTTTTCTCCAGGCTGAACAACCCCATCTCCCTCAGTCGTTATTCATACGGCCTGTGCTCCAAGCCCCTCACCAGCCTCGTTGCTCTCCTTTGGACACGCTCAAGCATCTCAACGTCTCTCCTAAACTGAGGGGCCCAGAACTGGATGCAATACTCAAGGTGTGACCTCACCAGTGCCAAGTACAGGGGAAGAATGACCTCCCTACTCCCACTGGCCACACCATTCCTGATACTGGCCAGGATGCCATTGGCCTTCTTGGCCACCACAGCACTCTGCTGGCTCATGTTCAGCCGACTGTCAAGCAGCACCCCCAGGTCCCTTTCCTCCTGAGCACTGTCCAGCCACACCGTCCCCAGCCTATAACGGTGCAGGGGGTTATTGTGGCCAAAGTACAGGACTCAGCACTTGGACTTATTAAACTTCATCCCATTAGATTTTGCCCATAAATCCAACCGTTCCAAACCCCTCTGCAAAGCCCTCTGTCCCTCTAACAGATCAACACACGCTCCCAGCTTAGTGTCATCTGCAAATTTGCTAATGAAAAACTCTAAGCCCTCATCCATGTCATCAATAAAAATATTAAACAGAACTGGCCCCAGCACAGACCTCTGAGGGACACCACTGGTGACTGGCCACCAGCTGGATGCAGCACCATTCACCACCACTCTCTGGGCCAGGCCATGCAGCCAGTTCTGCAGCCGGCAAAGAGTGCTTCTGTCCAAGCCACGGGCTGCCAGCTTGTCTAGGAGTATGCTGTGGGAGACAGTGTCAAAAGCCTTGCTGAAATCCAAGTAAACAATATCTGCAACCTTTCCTGCATCCAATAGGTGGGTTACCTGGTCATAAAAGGTGACCAGGTTTGTTAAACGTGACCTACCCCTCCTAAAACCATGCTAGCTGGGTCTGATACCCTGGCCATCCTGTAAATTCTGTGTGATGGCACTTAATATAAACTGTTCCATTATTTTGCCAGGTAGTGAGGTCAGGCTGACTGGTCTATAATTACCATGATCCTCCTTTGCACCCTTTTTGTGAATGGGTATCACATTGGCCAGCTTCCAGTCATCCAGAACCTCACCAGTGAGCCAGGACTGTTGGTAAGTGATGGAGAGTGGCTTTGCAATCTCATTTGCCAGCTCTCTCATTACCCTGGGGTGGATCCCGTCTGGTCCCATAGATTTATGAAAATCCAAGCATTTCAATAGTTGTATGACTGCCTCCTCTCGGATAATGGGGGGACCATTCTGCTACCTGACAGCATCAACCAGTCCAGGCGGGCAGGTGTCTTGAGGGCGAGTCATCTTCCCACTAAAAACTGAGGCAAAATAGGCATTAAGCACTTCTGCCTTTTCCTCATTTTCAGATACTAAGTTCCCAGCCCTTGTCCAATAAAGAACAAAGGCTGGTCTTACCCTTCCTTGTAGCATTAATGTATTTGTAAAAACATTTTTTATTATCCTTTACAGAAATCGCCATTCTAATTTCAAACTGAGCTTTGGCCTGCCTAATTTTTTGTCTGCATGCTCTAGCAGCCTTCTTGAACACTTCCTTAGAGACCTGACCCTCTTTCCAAAGCTGATACATCCTCTTTTTATTCCTAAGTTCCTCCAAAACCTCTTTGCCCAGCCAGGCTGGATATTTACCCCATTGACTGATCTTTTGGCACACAGGGACAGTCTGTTCTTGTCACATTTCTTGTCACAATCTTCTGCCACATTTCCTCAGCACAGGCACTCCTGTGTGCACACAGACACCAAGAGTCAGTGCCAGGCACCTGTGAGCAATTCCCCTGAGGGCAGGAAATGCTCCCTGTGGATCCTTTGGCATCTCCCCAGTGGGCAAAGGGTTGAGCCTGGAGGAGTGGGGGGATCGGCCGAGGCTCTGTGGTTGTTCGGGATCCCTGAGTGCAGCAAATGGGAGAGTTCCCAGCTGGGAGAGGCCCCACTCAGAGGGAGTCGCTGGGCCAGGAGAGCTCCAAGGGCTCCTTTTGGAACGCTGTTCGCAGGGCCCCAAGAGAGGGGCTTCAGGCCCAGCAATGGTTCATCCTGGCCGCACTTGGCACCAACAGCGATGTTGTGCCACTGAGGGAACAAAAACAGTTCCCAGGGCTGCTTGTAAAGGAAGCAGGAGCTGGTTGGGCAACAGCAGCGCCTGGAGCAGACAGTGTTTGTGATGAGCTGCAGAGGAGCTGAGCCCAGGGGCTGTTGGCCAAGGCCGAGGCCCAAGGAGCATTTCTCAGCTGGCAGGGCAGCCTGAGAAGGGGAGGGGGAAATGCAGCAGCACAGGGCCCATGAAACCAAGGGACGATTGTGACACTGTGGGACCCTGTGAGACCAAGGAACCAGTGTGACACTGTGGGGCCCTGTGAGACCAAGGGACCATTGTGACACTGTCTGGCCTTGTCACATCAAGGGACCATGGTGACACTGTGGGGCCTCATGGAATCATGGAGGACTGTACTGATGCTGTGTGGCTCCAGGTAGTGTAGGGATTTATGTGACACTGAGGGGCCCCATCAAACCAAGAGTGCATTGTGACACCACTGGTCCTCCTGGAACCTTGGAGACAATTATGACACTTTGAAGTGTCATGGAACCAAGGAGCCATTGTTACACTGTGAGACCCCATGGAGCCAGAGGTCCATTGTGACATTGCAAGGCCTCATGGAACCTTGGAGAGACCATTAAGAGACTTCAAACCTCATGGAGTCAAGGGGCCATTGTGACACTGAGCAGGCATCATGGAACCAAGGAGATCATTGTTACTCTGAGGGGACTCATGGGATCATGGAGACCATAGTGATACTGTGAGGCCCCATGGAATATGCAAAGCATTGTGACACTGTGAGGCCTCATGGAACCTGTGAGACCC